TAACAATATGAAATTGGTCGAAGACCCGTACTCAGGAAATAAAATAACAACATAAAACGCTCACTGAGTTTCCAGCGATATACATACCCTTTTCTAGATATATACCTAATAATAATAAACGAACGAACGAATGTATTCCTTCCACTCGTGAGCTCATTTACCATTGTCACATATAGTAAATGTCCAGGCCTTGTGACCCTGGATGGGCACTTAAAAGGAAAGAATACACACGCACAAAGGTTTATTTATTCAACCATTACAAGAGAACGATTGAACAACTGCGCATGAACGAACGTCCAAAGTGAATGCCCCTTGTTAGCCACCTACCAAATTATCATTAGCATAACAATATGTCTCACACAACTCATTTCCTTGTCGTCATATCATAACAAACCATATCAGGAAATATGAATATCAAGCGCAGTTGTTCAATCGTTCTCTTGTAATAGTTGAATAAATAAACCTTTGTGTGTGTGTATTCTTTCCTTTTAAGTGCCCATCCAGAGTCACAAGGCCTGGACATTTACTATTTGTGACAATGGTAAATGAGCTCACGAGTGGAAGGAATACATTCGTTCGTTCGCTTATTATTATTAGGTATATATCTAGAAAAGGGTATGTATATCGCTGGAAACTCAGAGAGCGTTTTATGTTGTTATTTTATTTCCTGAGTACGGGTCTTGGACCAATTTCATATTGTTATTTTTGGTGCTTTGCACTTAAATCCTACAGTTGTAGGTAAATATTCCTGAAGGTCATGGATTTGACTAAAGGTTTGTAATTGATATTCATATTTCCTGATATGGTTTGTTATGATATGACGACAAGGAAATGAGTCGTGTGAGACATATTGTTTATGCTAATAATAATTTTGTAGGTGGCTAACAAGAGGCATTCACTTTGAACGTTCGTTCATGCGCAGTTTGTGTGTGTGTATTCTTTCCTTTTAAGTGCCCATCCAGGGTCACAAGGCCTGGACATTTACTATATGTGACAATGGTAAATGAGCTCACGAGTGGAAGGAATACATTCGTTCGTTCGTTTATTATTATTAGGTATATATCTAGAAAAGGGTATGTATATCGCTGGAAACTCAGAGAGCGTTTTATGTTGTTATAAGGTAATTAGTTTAAGATGTAATACGATACTGTATCTAAGGACACTACAGGTTCTATGCAACAGCATTTCCGCACTCTCAAAATTGCGTTGCTTTTTTATACGATACAGAATAAGTCTGAGAAGAATATTCATGCTATAATGCATACATGTAAATCTACACTAAATCTATTCTTCTTGGAACCATATCAGACTTCTACAATTGCTTTAATTAACGAGATTTTACAAATCAAGTTCCTCCAGTATATCATCGTTTTCCTCAGTCGAGACGTACTTAATCAGTTTCAGCTTCGAGGATGTAACATGTACCCCCCCCCCCCCCCCAATTTCTCTACAGATTTAGCCTTTTTCAGAGAATGGGTTTTTTTTCGATTGGGGGGGCGGTCGCCCCCCCCCCCCTTGGCTACGCCACTGATAAATAACAAAACAGCGAATGATATAAAATCCTCAAAACATAACTCTCGCATAAAAAAACATGAATACTTCTATAATATGTATAATTTTATTCCTCTGCAATATCAAAATTTAATAAAATAGTGAATTAATATAATTTTAAAGTTTATTTAATCGGTGTGACATAATTTGCCGCGAGATTCATATCTGTATTTACCTCATCTGTGGCACAGAATAAGGCACACAGAAGGACAGAAAGTCGACTCGAGTAACCGCTGCCACGCGATGATTCATCATCAAAATGCTGACGCCATGGTCCTAGCCAGTGCGCGTTTGAGAGGCATTCCCCCCTGGACATCCACCATTTTGAATATTATCAGGGGGTGAATGCCTCTCAAACGCGCACTGGCTAGGACCATGGCGTCAGCATTTGATGACGAATTACGGGTTACGCCAAAATCATAGGAAAATCATAGGAAAATCATAGGAAAAACCAAGAAGTCGGCCTTCTATGTACCCTATTCTGTGACTCAGGTCTGCAGTGTCGAAACTCATACTGTATAGCGAAGAACTCTGATCGAGTTTAGTTTGAAAGGAGAAGTATATAGACGATCGAATAACATTCAAGTAGTTTTGGACTTCATGTGACCATCGATATAGTTGGCGAAGAGAGACAGAATGAGTTATAACGGACATACACTGGGGAATCCATACTATGAGATTTGCAATTGCATTACTAAATCCATATTATATCCATATACTATTTCGATACTATATCCATAGTATGGAAATATACAATTATTATGGATAATCAAAAATCCATTTTTTCTATTTCCAGTAAAGATCCATACAATTTCCATTCTACAGGGTGTCTAAAAAAAACGCTATGGAAATTCAACAGGCTGTCATGCATCATAAACTTTAATAGCGAAACAATTCAATTTTTACATAGGACGAAAGAACAGTTATTTAGCTTTTCAATGATATTCTGTTTTAATCGTAACGATGAGAAATGGCCACATACTCGTCAAATAAAAATGCCGGTCGATATTACATTCTTCCCCCGTTGGGAATTGCATCTAAAACCGAAACGTAAACAATTCCCAAGAGGGAATTAAAATTGAATGTTAATTATCTAAAATAAACTCAACTCGTCAATCTTCGTCTTAGTGAGACCATAAGAACGTCCAATATTGCATTAAACATGGTTCAATTAACCCAACGGTTTTCAACTGGTTTTCTCATGTGTCCCCGATTTCACATGATTGAATTACCACGTCCCCTGAACAGAAATTGCCCACTGAAGTCTATCAAAAACACGAATTTCGAAATAGTTAGTAAAATAGTAAATTATTTAAATTTTAAATAATAGATAGAAAGTCAAGCAAACATGTTTATAGTACAAACTATTGTATTCAACTATTGTTTTCTCAGTCCTAGACCAGTTTGTGTCCCCTAGGAATTTGCCAAATGTCCCCTCTCGGGGACATGTCCCCCAAGTTGAAAACCCATGAATTAACCCCTGAACAGAGAGCATTCGTATAAATCAAAATGTTTTACGAAACAAGTACCTTGCAGCAGACTCGCGGTGCTTTTGGATTGATTACTGTTAAGGGACCGGTCATAAAGTATTTACTAGGGGGTGTGGAGGATATTTTTTGGGGGTACGAAAAAAATCCAGAACCTCTGAGGGGGGTACGAGAAAAACAACAGAACCTCTAGGGGGGTACCAAAATCTTAGTACTATATAGGTACGGGAAAAAATTACATTTTATAATTAGTGTTGAATATTGAATGTGTTTGTGCCCAGATTTTTAAATATGATAACGAGTGTCAGTATTGATAGTAGCCATGCTTTTGTTTGTCTAAAGCTTTTAATGTATCTTATATTGTACTCTGAGAGCAGTTTAATTAATAACTTAAACATTAATTTTATAGTGATTAGGGTAAATAAACATAGTGCTATAGAGTATAGGTACAGCAATTTCAAAGAGTCTCTCTACATTCATCGTTATTATAGTTCTTTTTACTATAATTATTATTAAATCAACACAAAGTATATATGTTTCAGTCTGACTCAATGTCAGATGATAAGTAGGATTCAGTATCCGTGGAACTTTTGTTCCATCATCGTTATGGTTTAAGAAATATATCACAGAAAAGCTAAATAACAGCTCTTTCGTCCTATGTAAAAATTGAATTGTTTAGTTAAGTTTGTGATGCACAACCGAGCCTGTTGAATTTTCATAGCGTTTTTTTTTAGACACCCTGTATATATGGATTTTCAAAAATTTTTCCAGTGATATATAACAATTCAAACAGCATTGGTGGAGAATAGCACAAACAGAATTAGTGGCAAATGGTAGCATATAGAAGAGCAATTTGGAATCCAAAATTTGACCATGCACTTATTAACATTCAGTACAAAACCTTATTGTATGTTTAATGGGTTTTTTGATTGATTTTCCTGTCTTAGTATTGATGATAGTAAATTTGTATGATACTAGTTTTTCCTCAGAGCAAGTGTTACTGCAGGAGCACATTGGAACATGCATAATCTCTTGATTAGATGCAACTGAATGATCCCCTCCCAAATCTCCATAATTTCGTAATACTTCCGTCATATTTTTCTCAATCCACCGCACACTGTTGTTACAACTGTATACACATGGTTCTAGCCCGGATTTCGATTTTACTATAATGAATAAAAAAGAAATAAAATCAGACTAAATATGATGAATTGAACACGTGTACATTCCTCTTTACTTATAGTCTAAGCCTTAACCATATTATTTGTTTTACCTTGATCTCTTGCTATAAGGGGACGTCCGCTTTCACACCCCTATTAGCTTGAACCTGTCCCAATATATACTCGCACCCCACTTAACGTGAAGACATGGTAATTGCCTCCTACAGAGTTCGTACAAAAGTTGAATTTGGAAACAAAAATGCAAGGCCTTGAAAGTCCTTGAATCTATATAAAGAAGTGCTTGAAAGTCCTTAGAAATTGTTCTTGCTTTAGTGGATATTTCCTGAAATTGTGTTTGGGATTAAGAATTGGACATTTTTGTAAATTGATTTTGTTCATGTCTTACAAAGGCCAAAGCTGTTTGAAATTCATTAATTAAAGTCCCGTTTGAAAAAATTAACATCACTTTTTACTGATTTCTAACGCCTTCTTTTCAGCCATTTAGTCCTTGAATTTCCTGATATATGACCTTGAAAATCCTTGAATTTAACTCTTCTGACCTGTATCCCTGTATGAATCTTGCTCCGATGATTATGAGTGATCGAAAGTGCGAAAAGTATAACCCTGTTTCAATTCAAATAGGCTCACATCATCCCTGAACAACGTAAATAGTAATTATGCCTTCAAGATACATCAATGTCTAGAATTCCTTACAGATATTGAATAGCTATTTCTTTACCTGTTGTGCAATTCTTTAACGTTTTCAGCTCTGGCTCATGCTATAAAGTTAAAGTACCATGTTAACACTATAAAATGCATACCTATATATCTTCTTTTTCGCCCCCCCCCCCTCCCCCACTAAAAAAATCCGATCATGAACATGTCCTGCTTTTAGGAAGTATATTATTGGTCTTCAGATGTATTACTTGTTCTGGAAGTTCATTGAGATTGATCATGCAAATTTGTTCCTTATTTTCGGCCGTATGACCTCCACTTTCATGGTTCACTTTTTCCACGCGGTTAAATTAAAAGGCAAATCATCTTTGCTGAAAATACATTATATCATGCCTTTCAAATCCTTCGGTTACAGTGTTTGACAAATTATATCGGGTAGGGAAGAATGTACTGCATTTGGCTGGGCAGTTACTTCCTCCCCCCTACTCCAATAAATCCCCTAAACATTTTGTATTTACCCAACGGTTTCTGTAATACCTATGCACGATTCCAAATCCTAGATATAGGGAAAGAAAACGTTATCAGGATATTATTATCAAGAAGAAATTCTCATATAGTAGAACATGAAATAAGAAAGTTGAGTAGTGGGGAAACTTTTAAACAATTTTTGTCTAAAACGGATCGGAACAGAGAGTATGTATATAGTAGCTATATATACTTTACAAAGTATGAACTTTGTAAAACTGTTAGCCTTCAAGTGTTCTATAAGGCTGCAGTGACTAGAAGAAAAATGAATGACAACTATACCCTGTTAATTTTAGGGAGTTAATTTAACTCCAAGTAGAGGTATTTTAAATCAAATTTAACTCCAAATGTAGTAAATGTGGAGTAAAGTTGGGTTCAAATCGGTCTATTACAGTATTAGTCTTACTTTTCCTCCTTGCTCAGTGTCCATATTTAATCTCTATGCAATATATCTGGCGTAATGATCGCAGGTCAATCACTGAGAAGTTATAAATTAAAATTTAAACTAGCCTCGTTTTGGTGTTTTTTGCATGCACGTTTCAAATTTCGCATGCATAGATTGTTTTCAATCATAAACTCCCAGGCGCTTTAAAAAATTATAATACATGAGGTATTCAGGCAGGCAAGCAGGCGACGCCGCAATTTTTTTCCCGTAGACAGTCGGACTCCTCATTGATAGTCGGACGCATCATTGATCCGCGTCCAGGCCTCCGCGCGTTATCGATCGATCCCTTCGTACCCTGCATAACCCACTGGTATACCATATGTCCATCATTCCGCGTTGTTCCAGTCTTCGACCACGTGTAGAAAGATTTTCTTCGCGATGCTATAGCAAATCTACAAACTTTGTTTTTCTGGTTCCGAAAATACTCAAGAACTGTTATTGCGAATTAAAACTATATACCATCCTAATTGAACAGAATCAGTATAAGATAACTAGCGTGCAAGGAAATATTGGAAGATTCAAAGCGACCATCAAAACCACTTTCCACAAATAGAAGTATTGCAGAATACCCGTCCACTAGTAATATCATATCATGTAGCCCAGCCACATTTCACTGGATACGTATATACCAGATCTTATTGCCTTGTTCTAATATACACAAACTAATTACTAAGACAATATTACGAATTGATACTATAAAAGAAATATCATGCAAGACTTTTAATGTTTAATATTATTATGCTTAATATGCTTTATAATATAATTTTTTTTCTCCCAGCGACGCTAATTACACTGGCCTGTAGGCCGAGTGTCTTAAATCCCTCTTTTTCTGTTTTCTGTTTTCGACGAGAAATGGAGTTTGCGTTAGGTCATCGCAGGCTCAGCGTGCAACGTGCTCCAGTGACATATTCAGTTCAGTTTCAAAATGGCGGCTTTTCACTGAGCGATCTAATATATATTTCACACAGTTTCGTTGACTTTTCAAAGAATTGTGCCGGTTTCCTATGGATTTTACGTTGTGTCGCACTCTGGCTTTTCTTGCGTGTTGAATTAGTGTGTTTTTCTTTGTGTAACGACACGAAAACCCCGAAATTTGGACCCAGTGAATTTATACAATATAGTGGAATATAAACAAGGACAAGTTAAAGGTTTGACAGTTTGACTTTTTAATTAACAAGTATAAATATACGTTGTACGTAGGCTCATAAACATGCGTTGTGCTCTTGTATTTATTTGCATAATTATAAATTTGCACCTAATTACATTAATTTGCGCCAAATTACTTTCTAATTCATCATATATTACTATAAAATGTATGTTTTCGATTGTATTCAGCGAGGTGGCGTTGCGTGCGGCGAAGTGAAACGTGATACGGTTCGATTTGTTTTTGGAACAAGATCCAACTTTCCCCCCACTTTTTTAATTCTCAAATTGTTTATTAGATGTTTACTGGTTGGGGTTAGAGAAGGGCTTTGGGTTGGGATCAGTTTATCTTATAAATGGAAGCAAATTGGCGTATTTTTTAGAAGAATCGTCTACGTCTATGAACTTTTTAGCACCGTGAAACTAGCCATATAACGGCATTAAGAATCAAGGACTATAATTTCTTCGCTATTATTGGCCCGTCATTATTCATGGTTGGTAGTTGATGATCATAGTACTACAGTGGGCCTGGCTTGTCAGGTTGAGTTGCCCGTAGCCGGAGGGTACGTCTGAGCCGGCGTCTTGGTATGGTTGATTATGGTTGATAGTTGCTGATCATGATTGTATTTATTGGTTGTATTTATATGATCCAGTATCCCTATGATCCTGTATCCCATCTACTTTTCTACTACACATTACACCCAGTACCACGGAAGTTGCCATTTTCAGGCCAGTGTGAACGCCTGAGCAGGCGTCTTATTAATCATAATCTGTCAAACACCAATGTCCGGTTGTGAGGGGCATATTTACACCACAGTTTAACTATTTAAGCTCTCTATAGCATGAGAATTTAATCTGTTAATGCTAACTGTCGCCTTGATCTCAAAATAACTACTTGACTGCGTATCCACGTATCCGCTAAAATATAGAGCTACCTATAGTATATGAGAATTTGATCTAATGCTAATCTAACTGTATGCCTCGTTCTCAAAATAACCGACTTGACTGCGTATCACGCGTATCCACTAGAATATATATAGAGCTACCTTTAACACTATGACAATTTAATCTATTAATGCTAAGTCACTGTATGCCTCGTAGCTACATTTACCACCATGGGATTTTAATCTATCATTTACTAGACTATGAGACTATCAATGTATTGATTATTAATCTATTGAGAATTAATATAGATGTATTAATACATCGTGTCCATGTTTGAAAGGCATAGCTTAAAAAGTCTAAAAAGTGGACGTGTATTCTGCAATCGCTCCGAAAAGAGTTACAAAAAACAGTTACAAAAGTAAAGAAAAGCAAGTGGAAATAGCGAATATAACTTAATAAAATATGTTAGATGTCATCATACACAAGATATGAAGCCACAATAGGGCCATTTATACGTGACAAAATAAGTCGCGACTTACATAAGACGCGACTTAAATAAGTGGAGTTATCGCATAAATGGTTCTCTACGGCTTTGGTCTTATTTATTTGCTATAGCTATGTTGTTGTATTGGTTGTTTTTGTTTTAATATGCAAGGCATTAAATTTTACGTTGTTTCAAGTTTCTGCCATGTGTAGTTAGACTTTTTGTCTAAAATTTCTTATTTAAGACGCGACTTAAATAAGAACAGCTAAAAGACCTGTTCTTATGTAAGACGCGTCTTATCCAAGACGCGTCTTACATAAGAATTTTGTACCTTTTATACGACAAACTCGCGTCTTACTTAAGTCGCGTCTTATGTAAGTCGCGTCTTATTTTGTTCCGTATAAATGGCCCTAATGTGTCCTGCTCAGATTTTGACATCTCAACCAAACAATACAATATTTTGAAATCACCAGTTGCGTGCGCAAGACACACTGGGAAGGCGCATCTGATAAGAAGAGTATCCGCTGAATATTTTGTTTAAGGGCGCGGGTCAATGATGCGTCCGACTATCAACGAGGAGTCCGACTGTCTACGGAAAAAAAATTTGCGGCGACGCCATTGAATTATAGTTCCTCAGAGTGACAAAATGTAACAAAGCAACGGTTTTACTAACACAAACCCTACTCCAAACACCAACTCTACCAGCATAACCCTTACCCTAACCTAATCCTACTCCAAGTTTGTTTCTAAACGTACCAATCTTGAAGAAAAAAGTTTTGACGAAATGTCATGTAAACTCGTCATATGCGCATCACTGTTTTTTTACAACGAGACGTTTGGGTAGCCTGGTAATTAGTGTTGTTTTAGTCAACTAGAACTAAAACTAAAACCCTATTTTAGTCGTGCCAAAATAATTTAGTCAACTAAAACTAACTAGAACTAAATAAATTAAACAGATAAATACTAAAACTAAACCAGAACTATAGCGATTTAAGAGATAAAATTAAAACTAGAACTATACTAGAACTAAGGCAAAATCAGCAGCAAGTGTACTAGAACTAAACTTGAACTAAAAGCAAAATTAAACTGTCGATTCTGCCTATGATTTTATACTTCCTGTTCCTGGAAAACCGAAACAATGTTTCGAAACCTCGACCCTGGTTTACATTGGGTTATTTATAAATAAAGTTGTCTTAGTTTGTATAGTCCTGCCAGGCTGCCAGTGCATTATTCACTTCAATCACTTACAGGTCAATAAAGCAATTTTTAATTCGAAATAAACAATTGCTGATTTTGAATATATATAATATTTGGTCTTTCCTGGCCTAGTATAGTAGTGGCCTTTATACAAACATTTTCGTACATATTTGAACCACTGAAAACTAAAACTAAATGTTTTCTTAGCTAGGACTAAACCAGAACTAAAATGAAATTCCTCTATCGAACTCGAACTAAACTAAAATAAAATTTCTGTTTCAAACTACTAAAAAAGAATCCTTGTTCAAACTAGAACTAAACTAAAACTAAAACGAAATTCCTTTTTGAAACTAAAACTAAATTAAAACTAAACATAAATTACTGCATTAAACTAAAACTGAACTAAAACTAAATTGAAAACACCGTAGTCCATACTAAAACAACACTACTGGTAATGCACAAAATAATGCAAAATTGTATCATTTGTGGTAGCTATATAGTTTACGAATCGGTCAATAAATGGGAATGGGTTATGATACAAGGAATATCACTCGGAAAACATCTTGCAACGAGAATACATGTTAGAACGTATATGGTTAACAAACAAGCTAAGACTTAATGTCGAAGGAATGTGTAAGAAGGTGAAGTAAAAACAAATTGGTTAAAATAACCAATACCGATTGGTTATCTCAGATTAAAAATAACTATATGATACAAACAAGTCGTTATTGTTGGTTTTATACCAATTATAGTTTTTACAGTTTGAAATTGACAAAATTTTGGAAGAAAATGTGGCTATGGCCTCCGAAGATCCCAAGAAAGGAGAAGTAGGAGTACATTACCAATTACAAAACGATACTCTGAAACCAAGGTCTCGAATAACAAGACAGATATCAAATGGTGATCCATAGATCATATGTTATCTACTCTTCGAAAGATGATTTCAAAAACGTCAGTCAGAGAATGTATATAAAGTTGCGAATTGTTCTTTAGTGGTAATAATAATTCTTACAGGTAAACTACGTGAAGCGTTCCTCTTTTGTGTTCTTAACTCATTTGGAATTTTCAAAATTAGATTTGCAAATTTGAAAAACTTTTCGCAAATCCCTTGAGGGAATTTGCAATTTTCCTGTCGGCCGTTGCAATATTCCAACGCAAAGAAAGTTCCTTTCAAATTTTCCTAACTTCCTGTTTTAATTTCCTAACTTCCTGTTCTGTTGTGAGCGTTATCATTGGTGGATTATTTTTGTTAGCCAATTGCAACGCACGGAACAGAACAGGAAGTTAGGAACTTGTAACAGGAAGTTAAGAACTTCTAACAGGAACTGAGGAAAATTTATTTTGCTCTTAAGAACATTGCAAATTCCCTCAAGGGATTTGCAAGGGAGTTTTTCAAATTTGCTAAGGTAATGACGAAAATTGCAATCAACTTAGGAACTCAAAAGAGGAACGCTTCACGTAGTTTACCTGTAATGATTGAAAGGGACTGGATTGAAGGGACTGGAAGATGAATTAATACTACGCTACGTCAAGTGCATGAGGTAATGCATGTTAATGGCATAGTTACCATTTAGAGTATGTTTCTTCATCCGGATCCAGCCGTTAGTAGGAATGAAGTGGGTTAACAATATATAAATAAGAAATATGTGACTAGAAAAGAAAGTGGATAAAGTTTACCCTTGGTACTTGGTGTTATATGGTGCAACTATATATATATAACTATAAGTTAAAATAATTATATATGGGAATCACAAATGTATGAGAAAATCAAACGTAATCGAAGCTTTTTTGGTAACGATTTGGTAATTGAGAGGGAGTTCACAGGTGAGTTCGAAATTGAAACTCAGAGCTCGTCTTACTGTTATAGAGTTTATATATATATATATATATATATATATATATATATATATATATATATATATATATATATATATATATATATATATATATATATATATATATATATAAGGTGTATCAAAAAAAGCGCAATCCTCGACTGAAATGTAAATTGCTAAACAAATAATAGACAAAAACGTTAAAGTTTACATTCATTTTAAAGCGTAGCCATTCAGCTTTCTAACAGTGGGTTGTTTCTTAAATTTAACTCATTGGTTCGCGGGTAATAATACTTTACGTTATTGCGATTGGAGGTTAAAAAAATTGAGATGGAATAACAAATCGTTCTCATGAAAATAACTGTGTTTTTTTCATTAAAACAAAAACATGTTGCATTTTAATAAATGGATTGTAACAATAAGTATAATTACGGCTTTTCTTCCACTATTTTTAACACAGTTTGAAACTTCAAATGCGATATAATTTTGGCTTGGACCATCTAAGCTGACTGACATCAGCTTGCTATAATTTCTATTTACATTACATCGCAATTCGATGACACTCTGGCTCAGACACCAGAATGTTTTGATTCTATGATTTTTAGCATTCGTTTAGGATTTTCAAACAACCTAGTCTCTTTTAAAATACTTTTAATTTGTTCTTACGTGGTTTTCCAGATGTAGTGACGACAACATTAAAGTTTAAAGAAGAAAATTCTAACATTTAAACCGACTAAACAATAACATAGTAAACTTGCATAATTAAACAGCAACTAAAAATGATAGGTTTTACTAAATCTTTTCCTGTGCAATTATTACTAGCATTGGAGACAAGGATAATAGTTTGTTTGAAAGAGAAAAGAACAGGCTTTGAAGTAAGCCTAAAAGCGTTTACCTAGAAATAGTATTTCGAAAGTTATTAAGCACAAAAGATGAATTGCGTTTATTTTGATACACCCTGTATATATTCTTTGGTCCAAAGACTTCTGACATCTATCTATCTATCGGACACAAAATTTTAGCTGCTTTTAAAACTGTACTTTTAGTAAAAAATTTTCAATATTTACAGCTGGTAACCCTTAACGTTTCAGTTCATTTGTCTCCTAAAGTGGTTCTCCGCTTTTGTGCATTTCTGGCTATTGAAAAGGCCTTTTAGTAAGCCTGATATTTCACTTTTATGTGAATGAAATTGACGATATTCTGTATTCAAGATGGCTGACATGGATGAAATTGTTTCAGTTTTTCGCAATACCTCAAAGACTGATACCGTCAACAAATTGGTTCAGGATTATTCTGTTGATGGACTTTCAAGCTTAAAAGTTGAACTTTCGCAAAAATGCAGTGGAATTAAGGACTTTCCTGTTGGGGAACTTTTCTCGCGAAGGAGGCCAAAAGGTGCAAGTGCATATTCAAGTTTAGAGGAGAGACTCACTACTGACATATTCGAGTTAATGAATTGCCTAGATACCGAGATCATTAGTCCAGAGATTCGCAGTATGTTTAGGACAGCAACCATTTCACAAACAGAAGATATACAGCCTGTTAGTTCAAACCACACTTCTGACGGAAGGCTGTCATTTTCAGCCTCTCCGTTAGTTCGTGAGAGTGGTTGGTCTGGCATGAAAATGCAAGTAACATCAATGCACGGTGATTTCTTGCTGTTTCGGGAGAAGGTTTTATCAGACATGTCAAATCTTGAATCAAAAGTTAAAAGTCTGAGTTTGACTATTGAATCTCAAGATCGAGAAATTGCCTTGTTAAAAGAAGAAAACAAAAAACTGGATAAACTATGCCGGAAGCAAGATCTGATACAAGATACTGAGTGCCTCCAGAACTCAGAATGTCTGCCCAAAATGACAAACAGAGAGGAACCTTCAAGTTCTGTTACGTCGGTTAATGGTGCCTCTACAAATAAAGTGTGGAGTCCTAACCCTTTGGAGAATGGTAGTTCTTCAATTTCCGCTGAGTTTCAAGATGCAGTGGACAACACGCATGAAGAGATGGCTGTTAATAATGCCAGAATAACTACCAACAATGATGTGATATCAAGTCCCCTAATTACAACTATTGTGGACGGAGAAACGAATATCGGTTCTGTTGTTGACCTCGAAGTACCCTATGTTGTACCAGTAGTTCCTGCCAAACCCCTGCAACAAGATCAACAGCTTAAACCGCGCGCGTCATACGCTACCGCTGTCCAGTCGAATCAACAGCGGTGTCAAGAAAAGACAAAGCAGCAGCAGATGGAGCAGACCACTGGGTCGAATGGAGATACCACCAAACCGTCAGGTAATACTGTTGAATTTGTTGGTGTCGAGCGTAACCGTATGAAAACCAAAGCTTTCTTCCTCAGTGGAATTAATGATAAGGTTACCCCGAAACAGATTCAGGACTATCTCTGTCATCGAAATATAATTCCAACCTTGTTAAACGTATTCCCTAGTAAAAGGAAAGGAACCATTTCTGCAAAGCTTAACATCAAAATCAAAGATTTGGCAGGGTTATCCGAGCCGAATTTCTGGCCACAATTTGTCAGATGCCGACCATGGGTATCGAGAGAAAAGTTTTCGAAACCTGAAGGGCACAGAATACAAGCGACACAAGCTGGGAAACAATCCACGTATGTTTAATGGCTAACTCTGCATCTAATAGTTTGCTAGCATCAAGTATTAAACTTATGTCCTGGAATATTTCAGGTGTTAAGCATAATACCTGCTTTCTTAATGAATGTCTTTCAAATTGTGACATTTTATGTTTGCAAGAGCATTGGCTGTACCCAGACACGCTTTCATTTCTGGACACAATACACCTTGATTTCTATTCTTGGGGTAGGTGTGCTAAGGATCTTGATAACGATGCGACTTCTCGGCGTGGTTTCGGTGGTATTGCCTTCTATTGGAGGAAACACCTTAACGTGTCAATTGATGTGCTCTCAGATCTTGGCAACAACCGAATTGCTGTTCTAAAAGTTAAACTAATGAACAGAAATTATATATACATCCTTAATGTCTACTTGCCGACAGCAACAGAAAATGCTGCCACGTATAATAACTCCTTGGTAATGCTTGAAAACGTTATTTACGAACTTTATGGAACTGGTACAGTTTTTATTGCTGGTGACTTCAATGCCCATATTGGATCCTTTGGGGGAACAAGAAGCACTGATAAAGTAAACTGTAGAGGTCGCAGACTCAGCAAAACAATGGGAGAATTTGACCTCATTTCCGTGAATTCTCAGGTCGGATGTACAGGGCCAATTGAAACCTTCTATAGTAATGGCGGATTGGTGCGAACCACCACTGACCATATTCTTGTTCCAAGAAATTATGCTTCTTTTATCTTGCATAGTGCTGTCATTCCTGACTGCTGTAAGAATATGTCTTACCATCTTCCGATTTCTTGTTCGATTAATGTAGACTTGGTCACTAAAGTTCCAAATTTATCAATGAAGCAACTTTGCTGGAAAAACGTGAAATACGGCAATGTTTTGCAGAAGTACCAAAATGCGCTTGGCACTGCCTTACAGAATGATCCTGTATTTTCGTCAGAGGCGATTACTCCAAATGCTATCGAACAGTTAGTTGATCAAACCGTTAGTCACTTGAAAATTACTGCAGATAAGACTATTCCAACTAGAGTATTTAAGCCTGTGAGAAAACGCTACTGGAATCCGACACTTACGTCTCTAAATCGAGAAGTTAAAACATGTTGGAGAAAATGGCTTTATGAAGGCAAACCTAGAGATAATAACAATCAGTTTTTTAAAGACTACAAAAAAGCTAAATATAATTTCCGCAAGGCTCAACGCCAAGCCATTCATGAGAATGAGGTAAACGGCTTTGTGAAATTGGAGAGACAACATGACATTGAAAGAAGCAAATTCTACAACAGGATTTCTAAATTGAAGAAACCAAAACGGGTAAATAACGGAGAAGTCTTAGAAATTGATGGTAATCGTGTAAGCAACGATTCTGAGGTGCTTGATGTGTGGCGGCAGCACTACTGTAATTTATATACTCCAAAAGACAATCCAAACTTTGACAATGACTTTAAGAAATTTGTTGAAAACAAACTTGTGCAATTTCATACGGATAGTTACGGAAATGATGACCCTCTAGATAATCCGTTTCAATTTGATGAGGTTGCTGACGTATGTAGCAAGCTCCCAAATGGGAAGGCAAGTGGTCCCGACCAACTCTCGTATGAACATGTCAAATTTGGAGGAAATTTACTTTTTGAAGTTTTAACAAAGATTTTTAATGCTGTTAGAGAATTGGAGTATGTTACGGGTGCATGGAGTATTGGCAACATTTTTTCCCTATTTAAAGGTGGAAAAAAGAACAGATTCAATAAAGAAAACTATAGAGGTATAACTTTGTTAAATATAGTAGGCAAAATATTTGAACGGTTAATACTAAATCGATGGATTCCTAAATTTGAAACTATGGGTATTCCAAATAATTACCAATTTGCTTATCAAGCGGACAAAAGTTGCACCTTGGCAAGTTTTGTGTTGCAAGAAACGATCAATCATAACGTCGAGAGAGGAAGTAAAGTTTACTGCTGTTTCTTGGATTCAAGTAAGGCATTCGATTCCGTATGGTTGGACGGTTTGTTCTATAAACTCTTCCTACTGGGTATGAATGGTAAATCCTGGAGAATCTTAAGGAACTGGTATAGTAAAATGCACTGTTATGTTTCCTTAAATGGGCAAATGTCGTCTGTGTTCCCAGTATTGCAAGGTGTAAGGCAAGGTGGCGTTCTTTCTCCGTGGCTGTTTCTATGTTATAATAATGATATTCCAGATGTACTCCAATCAGCAGACTATGGACTAAGTGTGCAAGATATCAATTGCAGTTCAGTCTTAGTTGCAGACGACGTTACTTTAATATCTCTTAGAATTAAAGGTCTTCAAAGCCTACTTGATAAAATGGAAATGTACAGTTATCAATGGAGATTCGAGTTTAATCCCAGCAAAACGACAATTGTAACCTTCGGAGAGACTACACAAATGCATTTGCTCAAAAAGCTGTTAAGAAGTTGGTATATTAATGGTGTTAAAATACCTGAAAAACCTTCATGGGAACATGTTGGTATAATGCTGAGCGGCAATTTTTCAAATTACGAGAGATCAAAAATTGCTGCAAATAAAGGAAAACAGGCTGCTGGTATGCTAATGAACGCTGGAGTACGACCAGGTGGTATAAATCCGATTTGCGGTATGAACTCGTGGAAAACATTTGGTTTACCTTCAATGTTGTATGGC